TAGTGGAAAAGGTGGTGAAAAATAGACTGATTGAGCTTTTATCACGTAACAATATAATTAACGATGGGCAGTTTGGATTTCAGTCATCTAAAAGTACTAGTGATGGTGTCTTTTGTTTTCTAAAATTTGAAACTGAACGATAGAGAGGTTTCAGCTGCGGTTTTTTGCGACCTCTCGTAAGCATTCGATTGCATTAATAATTCCTCACAATCGACTAATCGACACAGGGGTTCCACAAGGTTCTGTCCTAGGACCTATTTTATTCTTGATGTATGTTAATGCATTTTAAATTGCCACTTGAATGTATGTTTACTGGTTTTGCAGATAATATTACACCTCTTTGGCACCATGAAGACCCACGGATCTTGAAAGAAATGGTTTCTAATGACCTCCATCAAATAAAAGCATCAAATTTTATAAGTTTTAATACTGAAAAAGCCAAGAGTACTTAGTTTTAAATTTTCATTTGACAATCTGCAACTTGGAAATCTCTCAATAGGTCTCAGTGAGGATACTACATTTTTTGGAATTAATATTAACTGCAATTTGAAATTTTTCCAACATATAATAAACTTAAATAAGAAAATAGCAGCGGGAGGTTATGCTGTACGCCAAACTTGTTATGAATTGGGCTAGTCTATGACTGAAACTTGTTAAAACCACTTATTTTGCTCTCAGGGATCATTGCCGACCATTATTTTAAATAGGAAACATGTTAACCTTGGTGGAAATCTTTATCTTAGAGCTGTTTGCGTGGTTCACAAGAGGTACCAGGGTACTACACAAGCGCACTCCTATTCAACGGGGAACTATAACCTGATAGAGTAGAAATCAAACGAGAAGAAGCCACGCGCGTTATCGTTTGTCTCACTTTAAATGGGAGGGACCCAGAGAAAAGGGAATCTGCTTTCTTTGTCAGCGCTAACGACAGTGGCTTCTTCTCGTTTGATTTTTACTCTACCTTTGCCCATAGGGCGATTTGATGTTTGACGTTCAAGATGGCGTTGCGGCATAACAAACTAACTATCTTTCTTTAGTGAATGGAAAATGACAATGACCGACATAGAATGGTGGATACATCGGTAAAATTTGATGAGAATAAACACGCAGGGGTCCATAAGAGACTGTTTATTTTCTGTGAATTTCTAAAGTATTTTTATCAGTTTGAGAGGGTTTTTTGATAATTTTTTTTTTTTTTTGGTGTTGCTGTGGTTCATGTGATTTATGTTTTTAACATTCATTTGCACAGCTTCTTGGGGTCCGTTTTGTACCTGGATGGTCTTGATGCCCCAGGTATTTTTTTGGTAGATAAATATTCTAAGTAACTCGGTTTTAACTACGGACATTGAAGGAAATTGAAATAAATTAAAATTCATCATATTAAACTTTGAAACAGGTAGAAATAACACACATTTATATGGAGGCAATAGTTGTATTCCTTTCAAAAGCTTCTTTCAAACACTAGAGCTACTCGCTCCGATGTTAGTCGACCCCGATTTGAAAGGAACCGATGCGCTAGCTTTCATGCATCTAGATGGTTTGAGTCGGGCTTCAGCACTCAGGTGCAACGAACACTTTTCGAATGGAATAAGCGCGTAACGCCCCGGAGCTGTTCCGTAGCTCCTCCTAGGTGTGAAAGGAATACAACTAATGTTAACCTCATTGGTATGTTTACATTCATGCCGCATCGCCATCTTGAATTATCAGCTGATTCGAATCGCCTAATACCAAGGTTCTCACTTACACAAAATTCTCTCATTTATAGAAGTATAAAAATGTACAATAAGCTGCCATTAAATTTAAGAACAGACCAAAGTTATAAATCTCTTAAAAATAAAGTCAAATTCTTATTGGCCGATAAAGTATATCATTCTCTTGACGAATATTTTATTGACAACCTTCAACAGGTTCTCAGGTTCTTATAGCTAGATATAACTACTTGTATTGTTATTGGGTGTCTGTGTCGTGATTTTAGTGTCTAAAGTTCAACTGTATGCTGTATGAAACTTATATGACAGGGTTCACCTGATAATAGATGGATAATTTTTCTAAATTATGACTGACAAATTTCAAAAAAAAAAGAAAATAAATTAAAAATTAATGATTTAATATAATTTAATTTAAAAAGTTTACCATACAATACCATATGGCGACTTTTTAAAGTAAATTAAATTAAATCCTTTATTAAATTATCAAATGGCTGTAAGAACTGTCATAAAATATATTTGACGAACTCAATGGTCTTATAGGCAACCAACTAAACATTTCGGACAGTGATAGGTATATACATATATTTTGAAAAAATTTAAAGCGTAAAAGTTAAAGTAATATTTGGAACTAAACTGCTGGAGAATTGAAGCGGGACAAGCGAATTTTTTAACTTTGGATTGAGATAGAGGGTGTTCAAACGAAAAGCAAACTAGGGAACATTTAATACTTCATAGCAATAAGTAACATGATCGTTTACAGTTATACGTGAAACACAATATCCAACGAAAGGCCACATTTTCGGTGGTTTCTCACGAATAATGCCCCGAATCTCATCTTTCAACTCTTGAATTGTTTGGGGATTGTTCACCTACGCTTCACTTTCAATGTAACCGCACAGCAAGACGGCGCAACATGTCACACAGCAAGAGAAACCATTGACTTATTGCAAACACAGTTTGAGAGTAAACTTCTTCCAAGAAATGGGGATGCTAACGCCACTAGACTTTTTTGGGTTACATCAAAAGTAAAGCGTATGTGAACAATCCCCAAATAATTCAAGGGTTGCAAGGTGAGACTCGGTGCATTATTCGTGAGATGTCACTATATCAATACTAGCTGACCCGGCGAACTTCGTACCGCCTCTGAGGTATTAAATATAGGTACCTATTAAATGTTGTGTTAACGTATCTATTAGCTGAATTAAATTCAGTTTTTTTCGATGGTGAATTTGGCTTTGGTTGAAGAAAATTAATGTTTACTCTCTGGATCAGAAGTCACCTAAAATTAAAATTTTACATCATCCTTTTTTAGGCAGCTTGTGGGCATTATTCTTATAAAGTGTACCACCAAATAAATAAACTCAGGCACAGGAATGTTCAAAGAATGTAAAGAAAACAAAAAAAATCTCTAGCGCAGCCCTATTTCACTCTATCAACACTGCATGCACTGCACTACTCCATCTGTTCTACTCTATCTGCACTACTCTATCTGACCTACTCTTTCTGCACCACTCTATCTGATCGGAATAGTGGAATAGTTCTGTGCAGCATTGTTCTATTGTATCTGCAATGCCGAGCTTCGTTCCAGGTATCAGAGATTTTTGTGTCAGAGATGGCGCGGTATACAAAATACAAATTACAAAATAAACTTGGTATCGGTTATAAGACATGGCGCCGTATGCGGGCAAATTTTTTTCATAAATAAATAGAATAAGTAATGAAATGACCACATTAATGACATAACAACATGCTGGTACTGTCAACGCTGAAAAAAGTTTCAATTTGACAGCAAAATGATCCTCCATTTATTGAATAATTAATTTATTACAAAAAATGTGATAAATGAAGAACTGCTCGACCGATTTTGTGCAAACTTCACATAAACCATCTAATAAATAGTCCGAACAAACCCTAAACATTTAGTTTGGCTAGGTGAGTCCGTTCTTGAGTTATAAAATTACAACGAAAAGTGGCATTCATTTTTATATATATAGATTGTGATAATAACGAAATTGGACATCCTTAAATTGTCTGGATCAGACGTCCTAAAGACGCTACCTTTTGTAACATTCGATCATAGACTACATTAAATGTAGTAGGTACATTCGATGTCTCTAAGGCATCTTTTAGGCATCATAAGGGTTTTAAAAGACGTCTTGATGTCTGGCGCAGACATCTCGAAGCCGCTTTTTAGTTGTCGTTGTGCTACCTGGGCTGACTCTGCTGGTGTAGTATTCACGGCAAAAATTCGATGAGACTTGATGTATATTCATATCGCTGATTTTCTCATTTCCTCCAGACTGGAGCTAAAGATAAATTAAATTTAAAATTGGTTTGCTGATACTGTTCCGCAGACCGCAATAGCATTGCAATATAATTTTCATTATTTGGCTGCTCTCGGTTTTCAAGCATTGCGAGCTCTAAATCCACATCCAAATTATTCAAATATTTTACTATTAAATGAATTATCATAAGCAAATTCGGACCAATCCAATAACTTCTACAAACTCTGCCAACTTATCTCAAGCAATGTGTACTGACAAATCACTGAAAACTATAAAGTAGGTACTACATAAAACAAGGAAAACCTTTTTATCCTAGTATCCTAAAAGTTCATGAGACCTAATGCTTGACGAAGCTGGGAAGCTTTTTTGACACCGAACGTTTATCAATCAAAGACAAAAGTACCGGTGCTCCTATGTAATAATTGTATTTCCTCGAGTTAGGCCACCACTATTTCTCGTATGTACGATAATTTCTCTTACAACAGTAAATCAGTGAATCATTTAAAATCCTTATTTAAATTGGAAACTTCCGTTTTGAATTGTGAAGCTCACACTACGATCGAATGAGTTAGACACAATTTTGAGGTTATAATGCTTACAGACCGGTCTCGAACTAATTAATCAGATACCACGTTAAAGTATAAGGTAATGACAATGGATTTGTACACTTAACATTTCTGGAAAATATTCGGATTAGATCATAAGAAGGAATACTTCCTATTGAGAAATAGTGATGTTTGAATTTAGCCTTAATTATAGAACAAGAATCGCGAAGATCATAAGTATGTATAATATAGGTCATTCATGTTTCAAACGTCAACCTTCGTTAGAAGATACAGATATGCATATTATCTTGATATAATGATATCAGATCTTCAAAACTAAATATAATGATATTTGAACGCAAGATGTTTTTCTAGAGAATTGAAACAGAATGTGATGAACAAGAACCTATTATACATGCTTCCTCCCAGCTAGCTAAATATCGAAGGTTAAATAGTCTACCTGACAATACAAATAAAATGTTGCAACTTTCAGCGTTCAGGTATATTTGTTAAAAAGTCAACAAAACACTGACACTCTCCCAAATTGATAAATTTGAAATTTCTGATCTTTATAGTCGCCGTATCAAAAATAATTTCTTTTGCAAGTAGACTGACATTTATTTTCCTTTACAGCTCATCCTCTTAAACCTTCCCAATGTAATGTCGATGAGAAAGATGGTACTTGTATGCAAAAAGCCAAATGTATACTAGGAGGCGGGACCCCTATAGGATCTTGTGGATTGATTTTTGTTTGCTGTTCTTGTGAGTGAGTTTTTCCAGTAGTAATTAAATTTATACAATTTTTTTTTAGTTGACACTAACTGCGTCAAAACCACAGACAAGAAGCAATCTTACTTTAAATCTGGTAATTTAAATTCAGCAGTTACTGGATGTCAATACAGGATCAAGTTGAGAAACAAAAATGTTTGCCAAGTCAGGTAAGATTATAAAACTTACTCTTATCCAGGCTATAAAGTAATTAATCAATAAAAAAAATTAGATTAGATTTTGAAGAATTAACGCTAGCTCCAGCAATTCAAACTACTGCATCTACTCAAACTGGCAGCTACTATGTGTTCAGTTGCGCAAATGATTCATTGAGAATCAATCCGAACACTTTTGGAGTTCCTGTGCTGTGTGGAAATAATACTAAACAACATTGTGAGTAGTTTATCAGAAAATTTTCAAGAAAATCTAGTACCTACCTAAAAATATGATAATTATTGTTGTAGGTATTGAATATATATATATAGTTGGGGTTAAAACTGAAAAACATTGTATAATTAGGTATATTATTACTTTTTCATCTCAATCTGTTAGGTCATTACTTCATTTACGAGTTTATACCCATTTTCAGTATATATCCATGTAAATCAAACATCAGATCCGAACAGTGCTGTGAACATTGACATTAATCTAGCAGATAGATTAAATGAAGTCAACAAATACCTACCAAAGCCATCATGGAAAATTAAGTTTACCCAACTGGAATGTCCACTGAAGCAACATAAATTTGACCTCTCGAAGTTTGGAGAAATTAAAAATATTAATAATGATTTCAATGTGTTAGGTCTGTCTCTAAATAATTTACAATTTTTTTTGACAAATTCTAATTTGTTTTTAGCCCCACAAGGTGCAATACAATATTTTACAGAAAACATTGGTGAAATTCGATCAATCGGTTATAATACTACAAATGCACAGCTAAGTAGTTATCCTTACTTGGAACATTATACGATTGCTTTTCGAAGACCCAGTGACGTTTGTGGCATTAAGTATGTACATTCCTTAAAATCTTGTTTAAATTTGTATCAATTTTTATTTTTCATTAGATTCACCCCAAGTTATTTTAACATGGCAAATAAAACCGTTTCCAATTTAGCTACTTGCATACATTACCTGTACGTACCAGAATACTATTCAGATGGAAGTAAGCAATTGACTGGTGAAAAAACGTCGGCCGTATGTTTCGGAAAAAATCCGTTTTACAGTAAGTACAAATCTACAAATAAAAGTTTTGATTATGATCGGGGTACAGGCTTTACAAAATACATGTTCTTCAGGAGTTGTCTGAAGACGAGCAAGGTAGAAAAATTTAATTTTCCTTTACGGTTATGGAAATTATCATACCATACTTAAAACATGTTTCCAAGTGAGTCCTCGCAGAACTAAATCCATATCCCAGAGCTAGCAGGTGCATTGCATAATTCAAACAACATCACGTTAAATTGATAAAGGCAATTTCAGGCTGTTAGGGAAGTCTTCTCTTTATTTACTTTCTGAAGTTCCACTTGTCTTTCTACAGAATAACCTTGTTGAGTCATTCTTCTTGATAACTAGTACGATTGGCGATGACTATGGACTATGAGATTCTTCTATGATGTCATCCTTTAGCATTTCTCGTAACATGGAGTTAACCTAGTACTGCTTTGCGAGGGGAAGTCCCTGCGTTGATCTACCAGACTGGTTCGCCTAGTAGTTATCTTCTTGCGAAAAGACATCAGCTTTCTTTTCGACACAATCATTGGCTTTCTTATTTTCTTGTTAACCTAAATATTTCCTTTCCTTTTATTTTTTTTTTCGCATCCTTTACTAGCTCTAGAATAGTTATTTATGTATCAAGGGAATTATGAGTGTGTTAATACCCCAGGGCAAAGTTTGTGTCCCGAGGGCCTTCGGCGCGAGGGACACCAATTGCCCGTGGGTATTAACACCTGATAATTCCCGTGGTACATAGATAATTTTATTTCCTACTGAATTTACTGTATTTTGTCCATTTTTATAAAGGAATAAACCATAAACCAAAATTTCTATCTTTTGTCAAAATTTCACCTATTCAAGGTAAAAGCGGGAGTTATGAATATCCTTAACTCCCGCGCGAGAGTTATGAAATCCTTAACTCCCTTGGGAGTTAAGACCCTGTTTATGATTGTCGTAACCAAGGTATTATATGGTTATAATAGTTCAGTAGGAAATAATAGTTATTTACATTACAAGTGCGTTTATGAGCATGATTACAATAACGAGTGTGAAGGATTAGAATGACGAGGTCGTAGACCGAGTCGTTCTAATCACACGAGTTTTGTAGTCATGTTTAAACGCACGTGTGATGTACAACGTTTTATCTACAAAGCGAAAAATAAGAACATTTTTCCAATTATTTTCGTTCATTAATAGTTGTCTACCTTCATTTTACCTTTACAGGTTTACCTTTGACATTTGTCAAATCACCAAAAATAGTTGTGTTATAGACTCATAACGTCGTCCATAACACCACTAGTTGTGTTATGAATTCATAACCTAGTCTATAACACCACTAGTTGTGTTATGAGTCTCATGACGTAACTCAAATACTAGAAAAATGGTTATGTAGAAACGTCATAACCAAACGCTTGTAGATAAATAAATTAATACCACTAACTTTATGCGTCTCCCTACTCGAAACTCAAATAGCTGGTGTAGAACTACCGATGACCTCTGCTTTCTTCAAAGTCATCCGATTTGTCAATAGATTGGCTACCCTAAGTGGAATAACGTTGTTGGCTCAACAGTATCCCTCAAGAACTCAATTTTGTGTACCTATTCTAGGTGATTAAAGTTTGACGCTGCATATTTCCAATGTCAAGGTCCTCTCACCAAAAAAAAATCAAATCTCCCATTACTGTTTCTAGTTCGTAGCCGTTTATTTTAGAACAACATCGCATATTCCTTGAAAATCTTGTTAGGGCGTCGGCGTACCACTCATCTCAATGGCCCTGCGTCGATGCTCAAATCACATTTATTGCTTTGAGCAACGCGACTTTCATAATTCCTTCTGATGGAGAACATCTGTAATTTGCTGGCTTGGGAATCAATGGTCATCAACGTTCACCCCCTTACACCTTTTCCCTGAAGAAGTCTCCTGGTGGAACCATAACTTGGGCAACCTAAGAACGAATGTCAGGAAACTATATAATAAGGCAAAGATAACAGAAGACTGGGCACAATACACTCAAGCCCTCACTGATAACACCGAAGCCCTAAGAAAGATCAAGCGAAACTCATAGAGGACCTTCTGCCAAAAAGTTGAAAACACTTCGCAAGCTGCACTCCTTGATACAATATTCGCGAAGAATATCTGTAACATCATAGGGACGTTGAAATGCCCGACCGAAGAGTATACGACTTCTGTAAAAAAAACTCTCCAAACACACTTTCCAGATTTAGGAATCAGTCAGCAGGACGAACAATAGCCATCTGAGCAAGTATATTGGCCTTGGAAAGCCGACTGGGTAGTTGCAACCAAGGCAGTCACCTATGAGAAGAGCAAGTGGGCCATCGGCACATTTGAAATTTTTAGATCTCCGGGACCAGATGGGGTTCCAAGCCTCTGTAGACTATACCGATCATGCGTTGCGTGGAGTTACGTGCTATAGGCATAAAGCAACGCCATTTACAGACCCCCAGACCCAGTTTTCGAATATTATCTATGCAAATGGTGAAGTCAACACTGGATAAATGGTCGAAAATACAACATTTTGCACGTTGGAATACAACACCTGGACAAAATCATGCAAGGTCTATAATAGGAAACCCTTCAACGAAACTATCAACTGACGTGCTGCGACTTACGCGCACACAGGTGAGACAAGTGATAGTGCTATTGACAGGACACTATCACTTGAGGATGCATCAGCACCAGGATGGGGATATTCAATGGATCCACTGAATGCAGACTATGTGGAGAGGAAGACGAAACAGCTTCCCACATCATATATGACTGTGTGGCCCTACCACACAAAAGATACAGACTCTTCGGCGCAATAAACACCGCGGATAGACTACCGCCTGAAAATCTTGTCCAAGGGCTATTAGACCTGATACAGGGAACAGGACTCTTGTACGGCAAGAAGGAAATTATGGCCCTATCACACAAAAGATACACTTGCATGGAAGGCCACAGCGCCTAGATCCCCCTTACAACCAACCAACCAACCAACCAACCAACTCCCTTACAATGTTTCCCTGGTGTCTGGAGCCAGGGGAGCCCTATTCTTCTTGCGTCGCTCACGGCTCCTACTGATGTGTCCTTCTTGACGACAGATGTGGTACCTTATCATATTGCGCCTCAGTCTTAAATTGCGATTTTTTTCGCGCAGTATTTTTCCGTATCGTGGTCTTTTTCACGGAAACCTCACCTACAGGACAAATATGTCCTTTCTGGTCGCAGTTGTAATACCTTATTGAACTTCTAGATCTGGAATCGCGGTCTTCTTTCACGCGGTATTTGTCCAGTATGGCCTCTAGCTTTTGAAAAATACTTGCCTCAGTGTTTCATTCGGATATCCTGACTTGCCTAATTTTGCTTCTTCTATTCTGGTGTTTTTGGCGGCTTCATACATAAGTGCATGCGCAACGGTTTCAGCAAAGGTGTTATGCCTACTCATTCTTAGTGCTGACTACAGGTGCGTATATCTTACATTATCGATGAAGTTCTATAGTTTTCCATATCTCCTTTTGAATTTTGACCGTTTCTATTTCGCCTTTGTCTTCTGATATCTCGATATTTTTGTTCCTATTCTTTCTGTTCATCTTTTAGTCGCCATGGTTTTTCAAAATGTTCTGCAATCTGTCTTGGTCGTCTTGCAAATTGTTTTGGAGTCGGTCCTGTTCTTGTTTTTTCACTCAACTTTTATGGTTCGCAAGTTTCGATAACCCTATACATTATTTATATGATCTTCCATTTCGGCAGTCTGTTGACTTGTTTTCACCATCGACTCATCAATTTTTTTTTCACTCACCTATCCCACGTCTGACATCATTTCCACGTAGGCCATGGGGGTTCGTGGATAAGTGAGATTACTCTTCCAAAATTAATTTATCTTTATTCGAGACACGATCCAAAAATAATGACGAAGCTATCACTATTCAACGTTTAACTGCTGTTCGATTATCTAACTAGCGAGTCTTGATACACTGAAGTCTAAAATCACCGCCGTTACTTTGGCGACCATCTATCTATAGCACGTCGTCGCCTCTAGAATTGTCTAGATGATTCGCTCCTATGGGCTTCGAATTTGCTAGAATATTACGCGGTACAAAGACAATTCACGAATTTTCTAGACATCGGGCATTATTGCAAGTTGCAAGATTGTGGTTCATTGTGTGAGAGATTTATTGACAATTGACAGTAATACACAGACATAACTTGTCTTAGATATTATGAACTTATCAAATAATATTGTCAACTACTTAAGTGAATACCACTCTGTACATTAATTTTATCAAAGTGTGTCGAAGAGTCAGCATTAATTTGGTATAAATACCGCGTCGAGATTTATTATCGGCTGACTAAGGCAAAGTACCTTAACTGGGAAAAGCCTCTCTATCTAAGTCTCCTCCCAGTGCAAACTACCTTTACTGGGAAACGCCCTTCTGGGTGTATTGAACGCAGCAGACTAGATCCAGTGCAAACTACCTTTATTGGGAAACGCCCTTCTGAACCTTTCTTAAACCCAGCTTCAGTTTTCAGTCACACCAAGTGTACAGAGTGTACAAAATACAGAGTGGCCTAGGTACTACGTTCCTCCGTAGAAGAGACGTCATGGTACTATTCCTAGGTTATTATAATAATAATATTCCATATATTCAATACATATTCCATATATTCAATACATAGCTTATTGTACCTATACCAAGCGAGTTTCTGTCTACCTGAACCCCACCTACGCCCCCAGGTCACGCTCCTGTTGTGACATCCCAGGACGAAACGTATAGGGGTTGTGACAATATAGCTACTATTTATACCAAGTATTGACTAATGCAAGTGACTATATATATTTTTTTTTTTTTAATTTTAGGTCTTGCTCCAGGCCCCTTCTACATTAACGTAAAAACGATGAATTCGACGGTTACAGCGACTACAAATCAACAAGGATTTTTAATAGATTACGAGCTTCAGACTTCGTGTCCCTATAATAACAAATAGTGTTTGTTAAGTTAAACAATATAATTTACATAAAAATTACACAAAATCTCTTTTCTTTATCCCATCTGATGCCGCTGTTCCGACAATAATCTGACAGCGAAAAGTTTAAATTGAAACAAGATAACTTAATAGATAAACGTGGCTGAGAAGTAGATCATATTTCAAAAGTTTGAACGGTCCATTTCTCTCTTGCTGAGATGAAATTTATTGTCTGCCGCCAGGATTCATGTAAGTTTGTGGGGCTACGAATAGAGTTTGCAATTAAGTATCTATGGAAATTTTGAAAAAAATTGATGTAAAAAATTCGTTTTAAATAAATAAAAAATGTGAAAAAAGCAATGAAAGCATAACACCAATTATTTTTATGTTTTTATTTAGTCACAAGTAATATAAATGCAGTCATATAAAAATTCTGATAAAAACTCTTAGTTTAACTTAAAATCCTATATTTAAAAGAAAATATATACAAGATAATAAAGTCACAGAAAGTACCTTACTTTCATTTTCCATACCAATTATATTATTTAAAAAAAATGTACCTACTTCTTATTACATACAAGGTTTTTCAAACTTTTTCTAAAATAACGTCAAATTCTCGTTGTTCATGTTTCATAAGTGAAATATGTTTTTACTTAATTATTTTTGAGCTGGATAATATTTGGGTAAAAAATTAATAAAAGTTTCCAGAAAACTTAAAATTATAAAATAATTTAAGTTACAATAGATCTATAAAATACTGATAATTAAAATTAAATTTGTTCCGACTAGTTATAAAAAGGCATTCTTCAAAAAAAGGAAAGCATCAAAAGTTGAACATATGCGTAGACATATTATGTAGGTATACAGGGTGATGACCAACTGGCACTCTCGGTTTGACCGGAAATCGTCGTAGGTAAAATACCTGTCTTATTGAAATGAGACAATGCTTGTCCATTTAAGTATTGTAATTTCTCTTGAACTTTTTGAGACAAAATATTTGATCGTAAGACGTTTTAATGCAATGTTGAAAAATTATAAAAAATAATAATAAATATATTTAGGAACAGCCAAACGGTATGTTATAGAGTTCAACTTGTATCTAAATTAGCTCCTGCACACCTTTCCATGATTCTAGGATTATTCCAATTTTATTGTTTTCATGAATTCAAAATTCTATCTTTTATATTTTGAATAAAGCCTTTTTACAAAGAAGTCGTGGGACTATGGGTACGTTTTCGTTCACAGTTAAAGTCATCGTAGAGCCAAAAACCATCGCCATTGCTCCTATTTACTTTAGTACAGCCACTTATTCTGGTCAACGCCTCTAAGGGACACAAAACATTCACATTTAGTCTTTTTTCAACAAAAAAAATTGTGTGCAAAATTAGGATTAAGAATTTCTAAAAAACGGTGCACGTCCATACGTACTCATGGGAATTCCACTTGGTTTGTAGATTTCGTTTTGCTCATAGTCCACGTCGTAGTAAATACCACTTTGATTCTAGAAAAAAAAAATTATATATTATAAACCAAATCATAAAAGCGATTTTCAAAATCTAAGTAACTAATTAGTTTCAGCTCACCGCTATCGAAGCATTACTCCTACTTTTCGGCCTTGGAACATGAAAATTCCTACCTAACAAATCAATCTTGTCCTCTTCCTCGCTAGAACTACTGTTATCCAAGGGTCTCATGCCTTGCATGCCTTGAATACTTGCCGCTTTGCTTGCTAATTGAGCCTAAAAATTAATCAGTTAAAAATAAATGAATTAGTAATAAAATTTCACATATTGCCGAATTTGACCATGAGCCGAAAAGACAAATTATCAGTTGCCGAAAATAAGTTGTATTTGGGGATATGTTACTACCTAAATATCTAGTCAAATGGTAATTTAAAAGGGGAAAGTTTTGGTGTAGTTTTGATATTTGGTTCCTATATACAGGGCCCCCGCTACCATAAGCGCGAAGGCGTGCGGCGCAGGCGGGCGGCATAGCCAAGGGGCGGCAAATCGCACAAGAAAAAAATAAATATATTTTTTAATAATTTATAATATTTAATAATTAAATTATTTTCCTTTTTATTCAAAGGCCAGGCACCTGATTCTCGAAAAGCCAGGCGCTCGTTTGGGAACAATTGCTCTATCCTTCTCAGATTCCATGTAAAATCTTATATGAGTGACGAAGACTGAAAATTGATAGAACCCTGTCCTGCGCCCTCGAGGGTATCGAGAATCAGGCTGCAGGTCGCCTCTTAGCTCCATGCTCCGTACAGCTAATGCACCAATTTTTCTGTTGGTTCTTGCAAAATTACTCTGGACTATTATTATTTATGGTAGCTCAGAGTTTTCATTAAAAAACCATTTAAGATCTACAATGTTACAAGAAAGGTTATGTGGATTAGAGATTTTGTCCATAGAATGTGATCTTTTGGACACTATAAATGTTGAAGATGTCTTGAAAGATTTTGCAACAATTAAAAGTAGAAAAGTCAATTTTCTGTAATTTTTTTGATGTTTATAAAGCAAAAACATTTCGAATATTGATATTTGATTTGATATTTCTCAATTTTGCTGTGTAAATTCAGTGTGAAGAAAGTATACATATATTATGTATTTAAGTAGTTAATTTAGCGTATCTGATCAGTTATTTACCTAACACCAAAGTATGTTTTTAATTTAAGTTTTAGAAATTTCGAGGTTCCTTTTGTTAATTTTTGTGATATTATTTATTATGTTTCAACAAAAAAAGTTTGGATACCAACATTGTTTAGTAGAATTACTTGACTTACTCCAAATAAAAAATATTTATTTTTTTATTAAAAAACATGACAACCCACGCGATAGACGTGTCTCGTATATAAAAAGAGACAGTTCATATGGTTAAAAGCAGAGATGGGCATCTACGCGTAAACAAAGATTGTCTACGTCTGGTGTAAACAACGCGTAGACAATGTAAACTATGTAATCTATGTAGACAACGTGTAAAATATGTAGACAACGCGTAAAGTATACAATTTTTGACAGTTGGCAGGCCTTTAAGGTTATGCTTCTGTTTTTGCTTTGTTTTGTTTTTTTGCTTTGTACTGTTAATTTAACTCCAGATAATGTCTAATTTCATACAATATAAATTTAATGCAATGCAAACTTTCAAAAAAATTACTCAAATTTCAAATTTTCTGTTCATTGTCTACATAGTTTACATAGTCTACATGGAAAAAAGTGGATGTAAACAATACGTAGACAACGAGTAGACAAACCGCGTAAAGTAGATTTCATAGTTTACGGCACATCCCTGGTTAAAAGTAATGAGATGAACTGGGAGAGAACATAGATGCGCGTGCCGCTGGGGGCGCTAGTGACATTTCTACTGTATGCGTACAATCAAATTTCTACCTATTTGCCCCCAACTGCCTGCGCACTTCAGGTAATACGAGACGCGTCTGTTGACTCAATGCTACTCCAAAAATTTTTGCTCACCTTTTAATCGCCAACCCTAACGTGCAATTTCATATTTTGGCGCCTGCCCCCTAGCTTGTAACCCCTTTTGTTAATGAATTAACTATAGGTCCATAATATGCTCAGTTAGCTCAGCGAAAAAAATATTAGGTGTGGGTTGATAATTTATTCAGTACAGAATGGCGAGGGCGCCAATGAATTTTAAAAAAATTATAAAATTGCATAAAATATGGGAGTGTGAAAATTCAGAAGCACACCTAGAAAATAATTAGCAACTGATAATTGGTAATCCTGAAAAAAAAATAAATAATGCACACAACTCAACTCCTGACCTATAGGTAAACCAATAAAACAATTGGGTAAAATTTCAAATTAAAGTAGTGAATATTTCACATTCAGTAAACAATTCCGTACCTATTGGTCTATTCCAAAATGTAAGATCAACTATTGTTGGTAAAACATCGTACACTTAATCAAAATAAAGAAGTTAACCTTCAATCGGATTATTTAAGCTCAAAAAATAAAAATAATAATAATAATGATAATAATAGCATACTTGCCTCATAAATTCATTAACATTAGCTACCAATATCATCAATTTGAAAGGAAAATATAAAGATTCACGTTTCCAGAAAACTAATTAAAAAATTTGAATGATTTAAAAAATTCTATTAATGAATATGGTCAATCTCTGCGAAAATAGATTTGAAAAAAAAAACAAGTTGTATCTGTAAAAAAAATCAAAGGTTATAAGTCAAATAGTCGACTTAAAGGAAATCCATATAAGTTATAAGAGCCCGGGTTAAAAATTGATCAATTTTCGACGGCAAGCTATTATTCAAGAATTCAAATTCAGAACATGTTGTCCAACCTTGACCCTTATTCAGATTACTTATTTATAAAATATAAGGCAACATTAGAAGTTATGCTAACATAATAAAATTAATAAGCTATGAACCAATTTTCTTTCGCCATTGTGTCAAGAATAAATTTGTACATAAGTGTCATTTTGTTAATAGACTGTAAAAATGATTTCATGAAATAAAAAAAATATAAGTTAAGAGTTATTATTGAAACTTATACAAGCCTCCATCCCAATATAAGGCATATCCGAAAACCATCCATTCTCGTCTCTCGATATCTGGACGAAAGAAGCCAAACATAAGAACTGGTAAATTCCAGCCCAGAATCCAGGCAGGAAAGGGACTATAATCGTCGTCAAAGATGCAGCACACGTATTGACCTGTGGGGTCTTGATTCTAGTAGGGTAGGAAGCCCTTCAAAGGTTCAATGTCAAGCTCAACGGAAATAGTGTTGATTTGAAAATGTGGCCTTTTTTGGAATGGACTTGGGTAAAGTCGGCCGTTCGAAAGACCCTAAGTAATAATGCATTCCTTGAAAAGCCATTACTTATAAAACTTGAAAGAACTCACCACGTTTTTAGGTGGGAATTCAAACTGAAATCAAACCGCAATCGCGAGACTCTTTGATTCGAATTTTTCTTAAATCGACAGATTATTGCCACACGCAACTGTAATTCGTTAAACAAGGCAACGCCCAAAGGTCGGTGAGATATATTTTTTTTTCGATCAGCACTTTCAGCCAATCAATCCTTTTAGTTCAACGAGACACTTTAAAAGCAACGAGAATCAATTTCCCACGGGCCAGGTAAGCACGGATACAGCGCTTCCTATCGAGATAGCCAACGGAAATTGTTGGTACTAACCGGGTGTCAAATTTAAAAGAAAATTGCGCCCTCTAGTAAAATAATTTAATAATTGCTATATAATAAATAGCGGGAACCCTGTAATTTTAAATGTTAGTCACCAGACTGTCAACATTTAGAAGGGTTATATAAATTTAAATTTGAAAGAAAAAAGGACAAGTAACTTTGAACGTTACAAGCTAGGGCCAGTGTCTCAATAACGAGTGACCTCCAGGTTGTTTTTAACTCCAGGGTAAACGTGTTCAGTTGCAATGTTTACCCTGGAGTTATGCTTAACCCAGGGGTGACTTGCTATTGAGAAACTGGCCCTAACTAGGGAGCGCCAAAATATGAATATTCGCACGCGGGCGGCTTCAAGTCTGGCGGGGGGCCTGCATATGTTTTAAGGGCCCCACACACTACGTTCTTTCTCGTCGGTTTTCATCGCCACGATGAAACACGTCGTTCCAAAACCGAAGTGTGTGGTAGAAAACCGTCGTGTTTTCCTACCATACACTTCGGTTTTGGAACGACGTGTTTCATCCTAGTGTATGGGGCCCTTTATAGGCAGATGTACACGAGAATTTTATGTTTGCCAACACGATCTTTCACCGGAAACTTTTTTTTTGTCCAAAAAAAGAAGATTAATTTTTATTCCTTAAAAGAGGTTTAAAGAAGAGCATATCCTATCCGATATTTGATGTCATATAGCTTTGTTCCATCCCAACAGGGAAATTTTGATTTTACCGTCAGGATTATGTGCAGACCCTGAAATTTGTGCGTAGAATCTGAAATTCCTCTACAGAGGGGTTCCAAAACTGTTCTTGGGATGGTTCTGTGACGGGTTGGGACACATCGACGGTTCAGCGTCGCAAAATCAGGTTCTTCGCTGTCGAAACTCACTGTTTATATACGTCATAGATGACGGGTTTCTCGTGCATTAGAGGTACTATGGACCATGAATTAAAAATTTTCTTCAATTTGTTTGTGACAATTACGTAGAATATGTCGTATCAAAATATCAATAGAATTCAGTAATTGTTTTTGATGGGTACCCTGAAGACCTAAACGGTGGTGCAAAAAGTGCAGAACGTATTAACAGATCAAGGAAACTGGCATCAGCTGACATGCTGTATTACAATGAAGCCAATGATGTCAAAAGAGAGATTCCTTGCTAACATGAGAAACAAAAGTCGGTTCATATCAATTCTGATGGCGAGGTTTACTTCGGCAGGAATTTCTTGCAAGCAGGCGAAAGAAGATACTGATACCCTTATCCTTATAGTGAACACAGCTTTGGAACTGGCTTCAACCAATGAGTCGGTGATTATATTTGGATATAGACCTCTTGGTACTTTTGATAGGTCTCTGCAAAGACGCAAATATTTTCTTTTCGAAACCTGGGAAAAACAAAGTCTCTACAGTAACATAATCTCCTACTGATACTATAAGTAACACATCAATTGCAGATAATATTCTGTTCCTGCACGCAATGGGTGGATGATATACAACATCGGCATTGTACATACAATCAAGGAAATATGAAGCTCCTTCAGCATCAAAAATATTTAAAGACTCC